TGACACTCTTCAAAACTTTTTTATCTGTTCGTGAATTAAGGTTGTTTGGAGTGATGTGAAATTTATATGCAGTGATGAGTTGAGTGATTTTCATTGCATAATAGGCATTCTATCATCAAGTGGTTTTCATTAATTCAACAAAATTTTAAGCATTCAACTGTCAGCTCTTAATGCGGTGCTCAGAATTATGATGTGAGTTGAAGTCATCAAAGCGAGAAGTATTTGATCAGCTAGTAAAGAGGTGTGAATGTCTATCGATAATGTGCTAAAATTCAGGATTTGACCAATTACGATCAAGCAATCATACGCCAGCAAACATTAATTGGACGAGCGGCCGGTATTATGCAAAGGCGGTTGGACGATTTCGCTAATGAATCCTCATCGGAGTTGTGATTCTAAGAAATGTAACGGAACTGGAATGATTTGAATTCTTTCTGAATGATGTCAAGTATTTTATAGAATATCTCATTATTCAGTGTATAGAATATTCATCAGATGTTCTGAAGAGAGTGATGCCCACTCATTTAGGTGATACTCAGTCAGCGATAAGTTTCATTCCAAAAAACCGTCAGCTTTCTCCTGAGTTGATTTGATTTATGAGGTGTTCTGGCTGTTGGCTTTGTTTGTTTTGCTGAAAGGTGAAACTGTACTGAGAGTGATTACCGTTGAGGTGTTTGATTGTATTCATGTCCTTGTTATTGTCATTTTTCATTATGATTCTCTTGCTTGTTCAGGTGTTTGTTTGTATCTTGGTTGATTGATTGAATGTTGTTACCGATTGTATTACATGCTGCTTCAACAATAAAGTATTGCTGAAATAATATTTCGTATTTATCTGATCTGTACAACATTGCAGCTGTTCCTGTGTTCACAAGAGATAGCTCATTCTCTTTATCTGATGTTCGTGTACGCCGTGCTATTGTTGTTGTTGTCGCATCGGTATTGTTATTTGTCGTTATAGGAGAAGTTTTATGGATTTTCTTTTGCAGTTAGATAAGAGTCGAGAGCACCCAGAATTGAAATTGAAAAATACCCAGAGGAGTACATAACCATTCAGAATGTGGCACGAGGCACGTCGTCAAGAAAAGTTGATTCGTTCACAAATGATCGACAGTGTTAAGAGGAATGAACGGCGAAAAATATTCTACGAGAATGTGGTAAGTTATCGTTTATCATATCATTGCGAAGCGGATTATTAATGTGAAAATTGCATTTGTAATGTGAAAACTCACTGTGATGACTTCAGTCAGTTGACTCGTCTCGTTGTTTCAATTTATTTTATTCACAGTTAATTTTCAGCGCAAAGATCCCGAACAGTTCATGCAACTTCACGGTCGTAAATCGCAAATTCACGTCGATCCGGCAGTTGCTCGTGCAGCCGAAGCGTCCAATATTTTGTGGGTTTTACTGTTTGTTTTGCTTTGCCTCGTCGTTTTTGTGGATTCGTACAAATAGACAGCAATATGATGAAAGTTTGGTTGAGTAATGAAGAGAATATGATCCAGCGATCTTTTTGTTTGTGTTGAATTGTGTACTGAAGAAAGTAGTCTTGACTGTGTGTGTGCAGTTGGGATTTGTTTGCTGATTGAATGAGATATTGCAGACGTAAGTGGCAAGGTGATCCACAGGTATTGATTGATCGATTCGATGCACGTGCTCATTTGGATTTTATTGCGGAAGTGAATCGCAAGGACGATGAACATCGGTATTCCCTAACGCGATGTTCTTTTTTTGTATGGAGAAAACAATTTACTGCATGGAAAATCTTTAGAGAACTTTATGAATTGGAGCAAATCGAATCATGTCGTAAAATATGCTGAAAATGGCAAACATTTTGAATTGCTTGAATGGCGATGAACCCTTTTAAGGCCCACAATCGATGTGGAAGAGTTACAGTGTGAGTACGAGAGGTATCGAATTCTGATTCTGAACGAATTTGATCGAGGTATGTGTAAAAAACTAAATTGATTCTTGCACATATATGATGCTGCGAGCGTATGTGTCACCGAACTCAGAACTCACCTACCTACCACTCTCAAATGACAAACTGTTGATGTGCTGAACTGAATCTGGGTAATGCAAACGCGATTTTTGATGAAGTAATTCAATCTGTGAATTGAACAATATAAGTGGATTATTGCATATGCAATATATGCACAAACAGTCGAATGTGTGATGATGCTTCTTCTCTATCAAAAAAAAGTGCTTCATTATGAATGATGGGCTACTACCTTCATTGGACAGCATCTTCTTTGTGGATATTCATCAGCAATTGTAAAGAAATGAATCGTTCATGTGAGAGGGAGGATGCATTGTTACAGGTCATATTATGCTATGAAGGGCTAATAATATCAGCCTTGCTTTCGTAATTGTGCAATGTGTTATATTTTACTATCGTCTTATCGTTTGTTCATCTTTCGACAGAAATTCTATTGCTGCCAGATCGTTTCGTTGGCATTTTTCACGTAGAAATTTTGGCGATTGATATTGTTATCATGCAGCGTTTCGTACTGATGCTGTGCAGGATTATTGCGTAAATTTACCGAAGTGATGGCGCTGTTTCTTAGACTCCTAACTTCACGTGCTTATTGCAAAGATATCTTGGAATGTCCGTAAATTGTTGAGGAGCACAGTCATGTGTTGGTTCAGTTTACGGGGAATATGCTCAGTGATCGGCAGTGAATTTGAGAGGAGAATGATGTGAATTTTCAGTATCCGAGCGTACATTTCTGAAAGAAATTGCTGCCAAAGAATTTTGGCCCGATGAATCGACGTCGTCGTCAACGAATCGCATTGAACACGAAAAGAAGAAACAATCGTAAGCGATTGAGATCCATTCGATTGGAACTGCTTACGATAGAAATCTGAAAAAAATATTCGTAACACAGCAGGCGCCATTACATGATTCGATTGGCTGCTTGGAATTCACTTTTTTTGATGTTTTCTAAATTCGCATGAGATTCAGAAAATTAGGAAAAAATTCAGAGAAATTGAGAAGATTCGCATGAGTTGAACTGTGAACCGAACATGATCTGTTATCGCTCTCAGGTCTGAAAGTACAATTTATCATAGCCTGATGAGTAGTCTATTGTATGGATTTCAGTCGTGACAAGAAGGCGGCCGTTGCGTTCCAGTATGAAGATACGGCTGTAGTCAAAGGGCATTCGACGCAAAATGCGGAATCGGAAAGTTCTGACGAAGAAGATGAAATAATTGAGCCAGAGGAATTCGGTTGGTATCGGTTTTTTTTTAATTTGTTGTTTCCTTATCTTCAGTGCCAGTGTTATCGGTATTTCAATTCAGCACAAAATATG